GAGAATCCCAAATTCTACTGTTTAGAATTGACTGCCACTCCTGTGCCTGCTTTCCGTGAAGTGTTCCTCCCAAAACTTTAGAAAGCAATGGAATCCCTCCACATTTCTTTGCAATCTCTTTTCCAATAGACTCCAAGTCTGAAGCTATTGTTTCTCCTCCACCCCTGCTCACCTTTTGCTTGATAATGGACCAACAGTGATCATCTGAAAGTCTCCCTGGCTCGTGCTGAATCCCCCGAGAAGTCCCCATCATGTCTGCTACTTTCTTACTGCGGGTTGTAACAACAACAGCATTCCCATTTTTGCTGTTAATTTTTAACAGTTGCTCCTTCAAATCATCCCACTTATCAGGGTCTTCATTCCACACATCATCAAGAACAAGAAAAAATGTCTTGCTTTCCAGCTCTTTCTTAAGGTTTTTAAGAATTGCATCAAGACTGTTCAACCCACCCGTAGTTTTGTCAATCACTTGCAACATTGCTCCTAAAATCTTCACATTATTAAAATCATTAGAAACGCAAACCCATAGAGGCACATCAAATTGTTTTCTCTCCCTCACTACTTCACAAACCTTTTTTGCTACCGTAGTCTTTCCAAGGCCAGCCATCCCCACTATAGGGACAACCGATAGGACATGTTGGTGTTTGGTCAAGCTAGTCAGCATATTCATAACTATAGAAACATCATCCTCCCTCCCTACAATTTCTGAGCTGTCGAGGAAGGAATCTGTCTGTCGATCTTGATCCCAGCTAACTTCTTGAGCTCTATCTACATGTAGAGATGTCAAATGAAATACAGCTGCATCTTTTCGAATTTCATCCAGTGCTCCATTGATCTCCTTAACTTTTTGACCCATATTCAGACGGAATGCGACGGGGTTGTGGAGTGAAAAGCAGTCACGTATCTTTCCCTTCTTTTGGTCTTTTCGGAGAGTCTCATAAACAAACTCGTCTAGAACATCTTCAGCATCGTAAGCTACATCTTGTAGTTTCTCCAGCCAACCCTTCACAGAATCGTCTGTGACTGACCTTCTTGCTGCATCTTGGAGCACATCTCTGATCATGATCAGTGACAGCTTGAGCTTTCGCAGCTGTCCCTCCAATCCCCAGGCAAGTCTGATCCCTTCAGTAGCTATGGAAATGACCCTTGTCAAAGTCTCCTCCATGACAAACGTAAGAAAACCCTCCATGTCCTCTTGTTTTCTTTGGGAAATCAAAGAAAAAAGATTGAGGGAAAGAGAGAGCAGAATGGTCTCAAAGTAGTGAAATAGAGATGAAATGAAGAGCGTTTTGGAATGATGAGATGCGTTCAACTTGGAAGTTGAAAGCAGAGGGTCCCTCCCTCACTGTATTAATTGATTGATTGCAGCGGCAGCATCTTCCACGAACCACTGCTGTCAAATTTGTCATGCAAAGGCGAAGCAAATGACCCTACCTTCTTATATTGTGTGTCCACGAAGCCTGCAAGAAAGTAGTGTCAGTACATAGACTTAACGAGACAGAAAAAATTTAATAATAACATGATCAGGGTATTTTACCACACTGATATATTATTAAAAAATATAATAAATCTTGTAGTTAATTCTTAAATAATTAATAAGTAATAAAGAAGAGAAAAAATAAGCCTAACAACCGTAATCTTGTTTGCTTATAATATACTATCTTCAATAAATGATAGCAACTCATTGTGTCCATTGAAAGGATGTTTTCATGTTTACTGAACTTGAACTGCTACATCTTTCTCATCTCATTTCCAAATCTTCTATTGTGTATACTAGCAACCCAGACTTTCTTTGCTATTTCCAGAGAACGGCAGCAGAGTTTCTACTTACGTTTGCCTTGGAGTAGACTTTGACAAGGGTGAGTTCCATGGCTACTGGAAGGCTTGGGGATTGGCTCTGTTAGGAAATGAGAAACACGTTAAAGATGAAATGAAGTGCGTATTTCCACGAAAAAGATGAAATGAAGTGCGTATTGGAATGCATTGAAGTAAAGCAGAGAAAGTGGCATGAGGGTCCCTTCCTCCCTCTACTAATTGATCGATGGCTGTTGGCAGCATCTTCCACGAACCAGAGAGAAGTATGGTGTGAAATATTAAAAGATAAAACGAAGTGTGTTTGGAATGATGAGATACAGAGCATAGTTGCATGAGGGCCCCTTCCTCCCTAATTGATTGATGGCTGTTGGCAGCATCTACCACGAACCACTACCGTCAAGTTGTTATGGCATGGCTAAAAAAATTCTACGAACGCCTTTGTCGGCATGGTATTTGGTGGGGAATATGACTTCATGTAGTGGTAGAACACCTCCTTCCTAGTATCTCCCCAGTAAATAAAAAGTGATAAGCAAGTAGCATCAAGCCACCGACACATAATATAGTTGGAGCAGGCAAACCCATTAACGTACCCCACAGTAAATAAAGAAGTGAAAGCCACGTTCCGTAAAAATTTGCCCCACTGAAAGCCAGATTTAAAGGTGGATACAGTTCAAATTTCATATCTTTACAAAGGAAACAAGGCTTAACTCCCACTCTGAAGTTGTAAGAGGGATGGTTGGATCAACCATTGTAGTCAAAGCATCTGCAAAAGGTACTCCAGCAAAAGCAACTTTAAACAAATCAGGCCTCGTATTAAGAAAAGAGCCGATAAGCAACCCCCCTGCAATCCTTCCTTCAATGCACAGTTTTTCCTTTGGAGATAATCTCTGTTCTATTGAATACGCACCACTGTTGACCAAGAATGACTCTTAAAATAAAATAAAATCTAAGCAGAATTTGGGTTTGTTTATAGTATCAGAGTTTGTTTACTATTGCTATTCTAATAGTTATTTTTATTCTATGTAACATAAAATAAGATATGCTTGAAGAATAACTTATAATTTTATTTTTTTATTGTATAAATAAACATATTGAAATTCAATAAAGTGAGTGTTTTACTGTATCTACACTAGGCAAAATTTGTTTTCTCTTCAATATTATCAAGCACAAATAGTAAAATCTGTGCAAGTATTCTTTTTCTTGAAGAACTTTCCATTCTTGTTCCGCTACCTTTCCCACCTCCATGTGAGCAAATATAAAACCATGATTCTATCTTAATGCACAACTGATAGGCTATTATCCCACGTCAATTAGGAGAGACTAGAGACTAGGGTCTTGGTTGTTTATATATTACTAAGAACATCTTTCTCATTGTAAGACCTTTTTTAAAAAATAAAATTAACTAGAAGCCATGGAATACAATATTATTAGGATTGTAGTTATTAATATGTAACAATCATCAATGCACTGCACTGTTCATTAACAATGAAGCATTTACAGCCTATTGCTATTGTCAAAAGTTGCAATGATAGGTTGTTAGTGGCAACTGCTAATATCAAAAGAAGTTATACCAACCATTAACAAATACTGTAGCTGAAACTGCACCAACCATGTGTAAACTATCAAATATCAAAAATTGACAATCATTATTGTTAAAAATGAGTTGGTGGCCACTATTGTTGACAAATGAGCAAGAGGAGCTGCCATTGAAGCCTATAAATAGACATCTAGAGTGAGCAGCAAGAAGAAAGAGTAAGAGTACAGTCATATATGTGAGAAATATAGGAGAGAGTGTGCTGTTAAGGGCAGCCAACAGTAGCTGCTATTACAGCACTGAGAATAAAGAAATAGAGTGAGGTTGAGAGTTGCTAAAAAGTGAATGATTCTTTCTCCTCTATTGTTGTAAATATTGTTCTCTTCATATATAATACAACGACTTTTCCCGCGGATATAAGCAGTTTGTCGAACTACGTTAAATATATTGTTAGTATGCTTAACTTTCAATAAACAAATATCAGAACATCACCGGTCGGAATTTCTTACAAATATCTCATGGTAGGCCTACTATGTTGCATATGTGAATACACCTCATTAATTGGTGCCGTTTACGGGAACAAGCCATGTGCTTTATCCAAACCCCTCATCTAGGATTCTGATGAGGCCATTATCACACATCGGTTAGGAGATGAGAGCCTTGATTGTTTATATGACACCCAAAACACCTTTTTCATTATAAAGTGTTTTTTAAAAAACAAAACCCACTAGAAATCATATGGGACAATATCTCATAATGGGTCTATTATGCTGCGAATATGAACACACCTCATCAACAACCATTCCTAAATCACAATGGAGAAGACTATTAATAAATATGCATGTCATACTTGATTATATCTTGAATTAAAAACTACGTACATTATATAAATGACCCAAGAATGGGTTAATGAGTTGTGTAACCTCACAATAATGTCCACTGAAAACCTTAATCTTCTTAAGGTAAAACAACTTAGACTTAAGGTAAGTGCCAATAACTTAAACTTCTTTCAGATTACCTCATATGAACCATAGCCATTAAGCAGCAGCGGATCAGATCCATCAAGCCTCACAAGATTCTTCCTATAGACTATTGGTATAGGGACCCGAGCTTTATCAGAAGCAGTTACCCATTTCCTTTCAGTAGGCATATTCGGATGCATCAAAGCCCCCAAGACCTGAATATAATAACTCGAAGTCTAACACAAGGAGAAAACTCAAGAAGTAAGAAGAAAGTTATTCTACTCTCTGAGTTGAAGCAATCAATCCTATGCATAAATTGAAATAAAAAACAAGTGCCTTATCAGGCCGAAGGATCTCATCCATTGTTATATAAACCAAAATGCCATTGTTGGCCCCCTCAAAATAAGATGTTACACTTGTCAGAGGCTACCCTGTAGGAGTCCAGTATGTGCATCAATGACATGAGAAGTATAAATTTCATCACCTTTTGTGTCTTAAGCATATGCAACCAACTTATGATTTGGACCAAGCTAAAGAAACAGATGAAAGGAAGAAAACATTGAACTGAAATCAACATACAAATGCTGAACATACTCCTTTCCCTACAAATTCCTTGTATAGTAATAGTACGAACCTTTTCTATAAGGCGCCCCTGATTCTCCGCTCTTATTTATTTGAATAGTTGATACTCAAATAGCTTGGTTCCTAAAACACATTATACACTCCATTAATCCCTTTTTTTCTCTCACACAAAGTGGTTTCTCAATTTCAATGAAAACCAAATTATGATTTCATGATCAATACATAAAATCTGATTCTTAATCCAACCCTATTGAAATTTCATAAAATAATGTTGATATAGCTTGTTCTATCATTTTTATTTTCTAAAACAATGTTGTTATAGTTTTTTTTTTTTATAAAAAAAATTCTTTGTTTTTGACCCTATCAAGTCTCGACAGGTTTGATCGTAGTTCAATCAGCTGTGCCAGACAATGACACTGGCTACTGTATTTTGGGGTGAAGAATCAGTGTGTGATACCTATCTTTATTTATTTCTTTTATCTTCTTTGCATTTCAAATCATAACTGGTTCAGAGGATGGTTCTGCACAGCTTTGGGGTAAATCCAGTCTTGGATTGTTAAGGATTTCAGCCACAGTTTACGCATTGTAGACTGTTGGTAAGAGAGTTCAGGCAATCAAGATGCCATTACTTTTTTTTCTTTTTATAGACTGCCTAGCTACTTGGTGGTCATTTTGATTTTAGAGGTTCATAGACGAGAGTTCGACAGAAGTATTCCTGACAAGCATGCATGTTTCTGAATTTCATAGAATACTGACAAAAATATTCATGATAACATGCTGAATAAGTGAAAGTGCTGTAGCAGCTATATGAAGCAAATGCTTGTAATATGTGACAAAAATATTCATTATAACATGCTTAGCACTCAGTTACACATACACAAATAATAATATTTCAGTTCTTTTTTGTAGAGAATACCATTGTAAAAGAGCTCCATAATGGGGGACAGAAGCTGCTATTAATCTCTCATATTCTGTGCGTGTGAAGGGCTGAACTACTAGCATATAGATTTTTTAAAATTTAATAATATATTTTTATTTTAATTATTAATTTTACATCCTTTTTAATATACTCTGGATGATTATTAAATAAAAAAAGAACATGTTGCTTCGTCAGCACAGTGGTCTCCAAATACTTAGCTTTCACTCGGTCATACCTTCTACCAGCAGTTGTTCACCTGCAGTTGTTGCTTTTCTTGGAATCCAATTTTATAGTATGCAATAACTTAAATTTGGCCGAGGTAGAAGCTGTGTTTTGCTTCTATACTTGAACTATAAGCTGTTGGAATTGCTTGGTAATTAGAGGTAGCCAATCGTTCTTCAATGGACAGCTATGTACTTGTAGGATATTCTGTGTTTTTTTAATTTTAGGTTGTGTTTGGTTTGTTATTAGTATAGAAAAGACAAATATAAAAAAATTAAAAATATGCTTTGTTGAAAGGCTAAAGGCAACAAAATAAATAAATTTATTTTTATAATAAAAAACATGGGAAAACATGTCTTATTCGTCTTTATTATCTTTGTTTTTATATTTAAATGAAAAAAAATATTGTTAATGCTTGTGTTTTATTTTGGAAATTTTTTATTTAAGAATAGAACATGAAAAAACATATTTTATTCAGAGACAATAATCAAAACCTACTAAATATTGTTAACGCTTGTGTGTTTATTGCAGTTGAACTTGAAGCATGTATATATCAAAATAATACAAGCAAGGGGTAATTAACTGCATCCATCCATTTTACTGGTGCATTTAAACGAGATTAGTAGGTTTTGATGACAGATCATAGATGGTTTGCATGGAATCATAAATGTACAAGGATTGGTTACCTAAACCTTAATTAAGGGCAAAAACTTTTTGTTCTATAAGCCGGACATTTATAATTATTTGGTTCTTCGAAGCTGGATTGCTATAAATAATTGTGATGAAGATCCTTTGGTCTTTGAGTAAATGCAAAAGCAAGAGTCTAGTTTTTTTTGGGTGCCGTAGACTGTAGAGCTTTGAAAACAAAAAACTAGGCTTTATTACACCGAGAAGAAAGGAAATTTATGTCTGTTTTATTGAAGTCTAGCAATCACCGGAAGCTTTTGGCTTTAGAGTTGTTCTGTGAAAATCAGACGTGGGTGGGGTTATTGTCCCAAGCATGTGATGTTTTTCTCGTATCCATTTCCTTGAAACCTCCTCTGTTAAAAACTTAAAATTACTAGTATGTTTTGTGTCTTAGAAATGCTATAATTTTGGTTATTAGATAATTTATATATAACTAATTGTTTAATTTAATAATACAGCCTAACATAGGATGATTATAGTTGTTTAATTTATGTATCTCAAATGTCACGAGATAGCCTTGAAAAACTTTAGAATTAGTAAGAGGGATTCACAGATCCTACGTATGATAGCTACATCACCAGTATGAGCAACACGAAATCCCTTACCATCTCCAACCTGAAGTTGATTGTTAAACAGGCCTCACGATTGGTCATTCCGGCTAGTCAGGAGTGATATAATGAGCCGCTGCAGT